TGTTTTTTGTTTTTTCCGCAATTATAATGTTGTGTGACTTTAGTATTTTTTATATTTTTTATTGATTTCTGTAATAGATGGTAGTGATATCGTTTCTTTTTTTTCTCATTATTGTTATATTTAGTTGAGTTGACTATTTAATAAAGAAAACAACGCCAACGAATTAAGTTTTTTATCGCGAATAATTTTTACGAGTTACAATCTGTCGATGTTACAACGTTTATTATAACTGAGTTACATTCCGTCTGCGACTGAATTTATAATTTCGAAGATGCTTGTTTGCTTGAAGTAACACGTATGTGCAGGTTATAGGCAAATAACTCGACAGAGACAAGGTTTTACTAAAACTTTTTTTTACTTTTCTTACTCAGACAGGCAGGAGGACAATTTTGAAAGCATCTCCCAGGTGAGCATATTCGAGCGATGCGATTACAGAGGCACTAGAGAGGTAAGGTTTTAACTAACTACTACTTTCCGAATGTGGTGCAATAAATCTATAATTGTTTAACAGCCCTACAGGCAGAAGAAAGGCAAACCCTATTCCCAGGATTCGCACACTTCGTACGTCAGTTCGGTTATTGCGTACTGGAGTGTTAAATTAATGCTAAATCCCACTATTGAAAATTTTCACATAGCCTTTAATGACAAAAGTTGGGGCAGTTTTGGCGACACCGTGGTAGAAATTCAGTTCAAGGCACTTCCGCAGAAGGCGGCTTTTATGGTGAGGCGTGCTGTTAATTTCCAAACCATCGGCTCAAGCAATACCAAAACCCTCAACTCCTTCGAAAATGGAGCGTTCAGCTTCCAAGGTAAACAACTGAAGCAACACACCATCTTGCACGTGCAACAAACTAATTATCTTTTAGATATTAGTGATAAAATCACAGCAATACAAAATGAACGTCAAGAATTGGATGCAGACACGCAATTTCTGGTTTTCACAACTGCTACTTCCAGCTTAGACGCGCCTCTTAAACTTAAGTATTGGCAAAACGATGAACAGATCGTTGTCATTGCTAAAAACTACAGCAACGAAACAAATCTATGCCTTAACACTGCCGAAGATAATGAGTGTATTTACCGTTTTTTTCCCCAAGTATTTACAGAAACAAGTCCAAAAGGCACAATAAATTAAGTCTAATACTTTCTAGAACAACTATTACCAACTGCCGAAAGTGAGTGTATACGCAGGCCAGAAGCAAAAAAAAGAGCTGCCTAATGCAACACAGGATCTAATTGCAAACGAGTTTGGAGAACGACGTATGGAAATAGCCAATGATTTTATCAAATACATCACAAACTGGACGAAAGGGACACGTGCTGGCGCTTTCAAGCTCAGCAAAGAAGACGTAATGGTCAAGTTGGGACAGTTATTACTAGCACCTTTCCAAATATCACCTATGGCCAAGACTGTGCAAGGTTGGTATTAGTCCAGTCAGATTAGACCTTAAAAGCCGATTTGGAGGGCTAAATGAATGAAGGGAAAATATTATTGGAAGTTGTTCGGAAGGATGTCAGAATATTGGAACATCGTTAATAATCAAAGAAAGTGCGGAAAGCCGTTTTTGGAGCATAACTTTTGAACCGTTGATGCTTTGGCAAAAAGTGTAATACTTTTGTAAGTATTAAAAATATCTACAAAATAAGACAAACTAGTTACTAAAAAAATTCAAAAAATTCGCCGAATTTTGCTTCCAAAAAATAGTATCTATTGTAACTTTTTTGAAGACCTTTGTACACTTTAACAGTGGTATACATTTTAAGCG